TCTACTTCTACCTGTTGGTGCACAGGTAAATTAATATTCACTTRGACAGGTTACTAACTACAAAGCTGAAATTTAAATAACCTGCACTGAACTTTGAAAATCAAGAAACCTGAAAGAGGGCTAGAAGTTAGCCAAGAAGATTTTGGGGTTTTTTCCACTTCTGCTAATTTTTCATAAATTTTAAGCATAATATTGAGAAGCTTAGAAACCAATTATTTTCAAGCTAACGCTCMAATGATCTGGCCTAGTTATAGGTAAGAAAACTAAATGCAATCCAGGAAGAATACAAAGATCGTTCAAAGAGATAGAAAATCAGAATATAAATAGCTACTTAGCACGGTTTATGCAAAATAGATGTTACTTYGTTAATGAGATTACAAGCCTGTTTGATAAAGTCAACCAGAACTGCAATACACCTAGAAGTCCTAAGGCACTTGAATTAATAGCACACGATGTGCTCATTAAAAAGTAATCACTTTTCTATATCAATAGAGAACACAAGTAATGATTTAGGAATTGCTGCAGGGATATTAAAAGTTATATCCACGGAGTAGCTTTTGCAGTGTTTCTGGTGAGGGGATGGTTAGGCATTCAGCAGCAAAGCCATTTCCAAACTCAACCAGAAAACTGATCCAATTTCACAAYAATCTCATTAATGCTTTCCCTCAAAGCCCAGAAGCAGCTTATGAAGCTTTTTAGCTTGATCGATAACTTGAAGCAATTTACCCCATGAAGACACAAACGCTTGAATTAGAAAAGCAACAAAGTAGAAAATCAGCAAAGCAGGAGAGGAGGTAGAAAGGAGGTAGAAAGGAAGTAGGAATTCATATAAAATAAGCACTTCTAAAAGGTGCAGATAACCTAAGGTTTAATGCTAAGCAGTCAGGAGAAGTATTAAGCAGTCAGGCTGTGTGATCTGGATCATTTGTGAGAAGCTGGGCTGTTCATGAGACAAGCCATTACAGCATTTCCAAACAAAAATTTTCCATCTAGAAACAAGCTGAAAAAGGTCATCTCTAAAACTTGCCCTGGACAACCCCARTCCTGAAGAGGACTGAGACCAAGAGCAGATATGTAATCCAAGTGCCCCCAAAGGCTCTAGCAATCAGGGCCCCACAAACCCTCCTGACAAGTGAAAAACTGATTAGCAAGTAGGAATAGAGACATGAATTTACCTCTAGGAGTGTTAYAGGCAACATTTTTATGAGATTCTAACCGTTGGGGTGCCCATATTTCAAAAGATGTCTTTAAAAATCAGACAAGGCACAGAAAACCTGCAAGGAAATTTCAAGGATGAGCAGAACCCCCATAATCATGCTGTAACAGATGAAAAGACCGGCACAGATATCTTAACAGGAAAGAGATTGAGACATGACTCTGCAAGGCATGACTGTTTTCACAGGGGAAGAAGTGACAGGCCTCCCAAAACTCCCTGATGCATTGAGGAAGGTGCAGGCAGAACAAGTGGCTGAAAGCAGAGCCACRGCAAGCTCTAAACCAGATGTGAAGTGAGTGTTTTACATCCTGAACAAGGCATGGAAAGGGACAGGTGATTCTCCATCTCCCGATGTTTTCAAACAAAGGCCAAGTGCTTTTTGAGAAAACAAGCYTCAATCAATTTATTGAATTCTGCAAAGGACATGGAAGGAAATGAAATTGCCTGTAATAATAAAGATATCAGACTACCCRATCTAATAACCTTTATTGAATTTATGTTGGAAAGGAGAATAAATGATTTTGGTGYTCTAGCAGAACACCCAGGATAAAGACGAGATCTAAATGCTCATTTAGCATTTAAATCTAATAAAATTAATATACATTTCAGGAAGCCTGGTGGCYTGATAGCCCAGAGAACTAAAGCTCTTTCTCATCCGAAATGTGTTTTGTGAGCAGTGGAAGTTTACCAGCTTATCAACAGCCTTACCCAGCTTACCAACACCTGCCCTAGGCTAGGGACACCTGTGGGAATTTTCCAGCCCAGTGGGGCCAATTCCAGCCCGGACTCAGGGAGGAACAGGATTTTCAACGCACTGGCTGAAAGACTCTGTCCTTACCAAACTCTTGCTTCCTCTTTTCACCAYAATGACAGAAATAGTGTTTCTTTACTAAAAGCTTTGGTCTCAGAGCAACTTTTACAGTGTCTTCCCTAGAAAGTGCAGCCTCAGCTCTGCCAGGTCAGCTGCCGTGCCCATTGGCAATCTGCCTGTGTGGAATGTGAACATCTTGGCTTCTGCCCAAAAGGCTCTCGAGCACCTGCAATAACCAGGCTTTTTTATTTATAGAGGTTCAGTCTTCACAGGCACATCTTACTCTTTCCCCTCAGCATCAATAGRTACTTCTTTGCCTTTTTATATTCCCTAGTGAAGCCATCTAGAAATTTTAAGAGAACGTTTTACTTTGGAAACTGTGATTGAAACAAAATATTGAACCAGAATGTGTGTGAAAATATGTGTCCTTCACACACACACACATGCACGCACACACACGAAGATGAGCAGTGAAAGTAATTCTTTCCAACAAAGTAGGTGTGATGTTCATAATTTCTGTTGTGAATTGGCAAGTTTGGGGAATAGAAAGTAATTTGAAGTTTGAATTAATTCATTTGTGTTCATATTTCATGCAAATAATCAAAATTACACAGCTGAAATAAGAGCTTTATTGGCTGTAAAATTAATGTTCCCTAAATTCCCTCTCACAGGAAATTAAGTCTCTGATTCAAGCCAAAAGGAAAACTTTGAAATGGCTGAAATCCCCACTAACCAGAAAGCAAAGCAAACTTTGGGGAGGCCCACCCTGCAGTGCCACGGGGGTAACAAGCAATCCATTCCATTTTTCCAGCGGGTGAGAACTCAGCAACAAGTTTGCAAAGCCCGTGAGTCYATCCAGTTTTCCCAAACACACCCAAGCTTCACAGATCGGCCAGGACACCATATGTTCCTGTGTTACTAATCCACTCCTGGCCCRTATTTCCAGTTTTCCTGTGGCTGTGGAACACGACACGCGTGGCATCGCTGCTGCAGAGTGGGGCTTGCAGGTGGCCAGAARCTCCACGCTGCCACACAGCAGAACTCCCTTGGCTTTCCACAAACCATCCCAACTYACCCAGGTAGGAAATGAACTGTCTTCATGGTAAAAATATGTTTAACCTTGTTTYCACCGCGTTTATCCTGCTTCAATACAGAAACTCGCATTACTCATCTGCCACATTAAGCAGCCACGAGCCAAGTTTTGTTCCTCATGTAAGTGCTGAGACCAGAGCTGGCACCTGCYATTTCACAGGGAGGTTGTACAAACCTGGAGGGTTGAGAACTTCCTGTTCTTCCTGGGCAGAAATTAACCACTTCCAATCCGTCAGCTGCCTGATCACCGGAGGCAGGCGTGACAAGAAAATCAGCCACCTTACTTCACCTCCTCTGACTCGCATTGGACAGAAAGAAATTGTATTGCAGGCACACAAAGTAAACCAATTTAAAAATCCAAGCGAGTGTTTTGCCCTTGTATGCAGGTATTCAGCTCCCATAAAAGTCAATATGACACAAAACAAGATCAAAGAGAAATATCCCCCAGCTCATTTTGCAATGTCACACTGCTTGGAAAYCAGTCACAGACTTCACTCTTGAAGACTGAGCCCTCTGATTACTCAAGGTATTTTTATTTAAGAACGTCAGATGGGAGGGAATTTTAAAAATATGCCAGAAGAGTGATCATCAGATACTGAAACTGTTTTGTAAACCAGAACAATAACAATCACAGTAGTCCAAGAAAAACCCTGAATTAACTTTTCATGCACAAAGAAAAGAAGTCTAAGGAATTTATTGATCACAGCTGACAGGTATCTATTCAAAAAAGGAATTTTGTGGCAACAGATGGGCCTATAATAATATTAATATCCCCACCATCTGGCTTTTAATCCATGCTTTTCATCAGTAGATCATAAAGCACTTTRTGAATGAGGTCAAACACCTTGTGGGAAAAGGCAGGATAAGACATAATGGTTAGAATCTGAAGTTGAACAAGTATAAGCAAGAAGTAAGACACACTCCATTTGCTCTTTTATCAATTACAACAGCAGGTGATTAAAAAAACAAGTAATTTACCTGTAAACATTATATTTTCCATCACTTGTTTGGAGACCTCAAATATCTTACAGTTCAAAAAAATCACAAAATTCAAATAGTTTTTAGGGGAGGTTGTTTGCCTTTTGAAGGCAGTAGGTGAAGGAAACAAGGCAAACAGAGAAATACCTGTTTCCCCTGGAAGTCCAAAAATCTACTGCATTTCCCCTGGGCTCCAGCCTAACCACCAACCCAAGCAATCCTTCTGGATGCCTGGACAGAACTGCTCACAATATGATTGCACACCTGAAGGTGTAGAGAAGGGCTATAAAACAAATAACCATCTTTTTAAAAATTAAGATGATCGAAGCATGCAAGGCGCAGTTTTGCTATAAGCTGGTGACCAGATGGAAAAAAAACTGAACTACTTGAACATTGAAAAGGTTCTTTAATTCTCTGGCACCAAATGTGGTGCACCAAAATCATACATTTTCAACTTTACTAAGAAAGAAACCTCCCGAGTTTCACTGTTCAGCAGATGCTCTTTGGAAAGAATGCGTCACTTGCTTCRTGCCTCAATGGTTTGGTCTGAAAACTCTTCAGAGCAGAGACCACAGGTATGCCTGTGTGGTATGGTACATACAACAGGGTCCTCACCCTGAGTGAGCATTTGATATTTACTGTAAAATTAATAACATATCTAGAAAGAGGATGCTTATTACTCAGAATGGCCCTGTCAGCAGATGACCAGCAGAACCCAAACTGCTCAAAAGCAGCAGCAGCCTCACGTACCGAGCCCTGCCCAGCCCAGTATATCCAAAGGTTTCAAAGCCCTGCATTACACCAACACACACTTTAAAACTTTGCTGTTGAGTAACTTTGTGAGTGAACTCCAGTACTACTGGGATCACAGGCCTACACAAAACAAACCAAAGTCCAAAAAGAGATAATGGCCTGAGCAAAGGGCAGAATGCTCATCAGGRAAAAAAGGAAGAAAGCAGGATAAGTTAGGTCCAAACTTGGAGACCTTACGGATCTGGCTTGGCACGGCTTCCAGAGAGGAAAATGAAGGCGGGTTACATATTGTCGGTGTTTGTGAGGGAGCTGCCTGGTTATGTTCTCTTCGCTGGGATCTTCATGCCCGTGACTTTACTCYTGCTGCTGCTCATTGCCTACCTCAGGAACAAACTGAGAGAAGGTGAGTCCAGACCTGGGTACAAAGACTGGGTAGGCAGACAAACCTTCTTGTTCAATGGACAGCTCAGGCTTGTAACATTAATGAAACTGGAGAGTACTATGATCAGAAACAATTTTATGAAGTTGTACTGTATTTTAGACCATTTTCTATTTGAAAAATGCTATCAGTATTTGTTTAGAATTTGGATTGACCCCTCACTTAAAACTCTGTGTTTTATATACCATACTGTAGAAGATTTTACTGTTTTATACTATAGAAGGGTCAATAAAAARTAAGAATAAATAAGAATAAYAAGAGAAAAAAAAGAATAATAATAAAAAAAGATTAGAGCAGTTAAAGTACAGATCATTCTCTTCTGTGCTTACACTGTGGAAGTCTTCAGTGAGACAGGTAGCAGCAGTTACACCCCATAAGTAATTGGGTTCTGAGTACGTCTGTGTTCTTTCAAAGCATGTATTTGCCTTTATTTTGGACCTAAATGCACATTTGCCGTGCTGCTTTTTCTATTTTAAAATTAGCTTATACTCACTTCAAAAATCTCTTCTGAGTAAAACCAAAACAAACACCCACCCCAAAGCAAATGTGCAGCGATTGTAACACATACTGAGAATCGAGGCTGCTCACAGAGCSCAACTGGGTTACACATGCAGCAGGCAGACTTTCTTTTAGAAAGGAAAATCCTTACCCCAGACTCTTCAGTCCTGATGGGATGATCTTCATGCCCTCCTTGTTTGGTCCCAGCTTCAACTGGGATTCACACATGCTCTTGTTTCAGGGTTCCAGCTGCCAAGACCAACCCTGGGGCATGCTTAGATCAGAGGCCTCAACCATTCGTTCCTTCAGCTCTTTGAAAACACTCACACACACTGGGCTAAGCTTGCTCCTCAAATTATCTGTCTCTTGAACCTTTTCTCCATATGGARTGTCAGGAGAGCTAAGAGGACAGCCTAGATTATCTCTGTAAATTTCAGATGCTTCTTGATAGAGCTTGGTGAGAATCTTGCCTGGGACAATGTTTCACAGCTCTCCCACTATAGGTTTCAGCTCTAGCAKGTACCTGGCTGGGGCAGACAGGCCAGTCCTGTCCACGGGGCTCTGCAGATCAGCTGAGCTCCCTCACCAAGCTCGTCTGGGGTGCTTGTAAAGCGTGCTGAAGCACTTCTTGCACTGAAAGCAACACTTTTGCAAAGAGCTCTCTCACCAAGCTGGTCTGGGGTGCATCAGCCCAACAGGAGAAGGATTTACCCACCAATGCAAGGCTAGGAAAGAAATCTTGTTAAAATCTCACTTTGATACCAGGCCAAACTCTGTAATTTATGCACTCACATTTTGCTCTATCCTGAAAATTGGGCCACTTAACACAAGAAGGGTCATATGTAGCCAGAAATGTAAAATAAACTAATTTCCTGTTAGCAGCATCTCCAGGCATTTAGATCCAAGGCTTTAACAGAGGAAGGGTGTTTGTTTGCATACGAGTGCACACCTCAAGTTACCTTCAGGCTGCTAAAACTTGAACATTTCCTGCTCAAGATGTGCTTTCACATGCTGAATTAATCTGGAAGGGAGGTCTGCTCCACATGCCTAATCCAGCACAGCCTTGGGGTATAGATTGTCCTTACAGCAACGTGCTGATCATTTTTCACCTGCTAATAACAACCAATACACAGTTGTTGGCAATGCCAAAACACCGAGCAATTAATCTGAGGGAATAGGAAGACTAAGTACTGAGAGCTCTTCCTTGAAAGTGGTTGAAATGGAAGCTAGTGAAATTATTGCATTTGACTTTGGATAAAAGCAGTGATTTTCCCTTTCAGTAAATTATCASTTCTGTGCTCAGAGGTGTAAGTCAGACATTAGTTATTATGAAATAATACTGAGCTGCTACCGAACTCCCTGTTACCTGGTGATGCTCTCGCTTTTCTATTCCGTTAGGATGAAGCAAGCCAGGAAAAGCAGGTGGGCTACTGATCCCATCAGTTCAGGTATTTTGCTGAGGCTCAGACAATGCTTTCACTAAGCCAGATGAACCCATCTGAAAAAAACATTTGCATTCRTGATGCATGATCAGCTTCTGAAACAGACTGTCCTACCTTTTCTCACAGCACTCATCCTCCTTACCTACACTTTCTGCAGGTCTGTAAATAATCTACAGCACCAGATGTTAAATCCTGCTTTTCTTGAAGCACAGAAATTTTAGCTTTGGATTTGTAATGAGTTTATTTGTAATGAGCAAGCAGTAGTTCCCTAAATTTTCTGAGATTAGCAATCAAGGGTGTAAGAGAGAGGTGAATGAAGCAGGTGGCAGACTAATTTGCCAAAGGMATATTGCTGCTGTGCTTCTCTCACAACCAAGAAGGATGCTTGAAAGGAGTCATCTGGCTTTTCAATGCCTTAGGAAAGGAGACACTCAGTTTGCAGATCACAGGTGTTCTGGCTGGGATTCTCAAGAGGAAGTGAGATGAATTCCTGTCTATTCAATAATTTGGGCATTGCATTCCCAGCTCTGTCTCCAAGATCTTCTTTTTCCTGAGCTGAGACTGGCTSAGTCCAACCTACTCTTTTGGCCTCCAGCCAACCTACACAAAACATCCTGAGCAGCTCTCYCTGTACAGGCAAGCAGAGTGAGCTTCAGCCTAAGACCATCAGGTGAGAGAAACAGCCACAGACAAGCCTAAGAACAGACTCTTTCAAATGTCAGCTCTCCTGCAGAACACCAGAAATTCAGCAGGTTTCAGCTGCCTATTTCCATAGAGTTCTTCTTTGGAAATTAAAAAAGAAAAAAAAAAGAGAATTTTTCATTACTAAAATCAAGGCTGCCTGGCTTCATTGTTAAATAATTATTTAATTTTTCTCTGTGCAGCAAGAGAGAGGTTCTGCATAAATATATCAATATATAAATACCTTACGAATAAAACAAAATCATCTAACAAAACAGCACACATTTCTCCTGAACAATTAGCAATAACAAGTGTTTTATGGTTTGTTTTTAAATTTAATTTTCTGTTACTCTATCCATCTTCAAATAATCTCCAAGCCTCCAACAGCACTGTCATGTTCTGAAGATGCCCAGTTATGTGGACAGCAAGCATTTTCCTGGTCTCTCTGTACCATGGGCAGCATCGGGAGGATCAGGCCAGTTCGAGGTTCTTGCAGCAGCCTCAGTAAAGCAGAACATGAATTGCCAATGTAACCTAATTACGCTCTTTGCTGTTAAGGGTTTTGYTCTGATTGAAAGCTGGGGAGGCAAATGAAAACGGAGCGTTTCTGCTGATGTTAGCAGTTCACACTAATGCTTCACTGGGCATGGTAACAGCTGCAGTCTCACACTCAGAAGACTTTTTTCTAAGAGCATGGGAAAACTAATAGCAGTGTGCTACTTAAGACACCTTCACCTTAATAAAACTAGTTCTTATTAATATATACCAGCTCTTTTTCTTTATAAAAACTCACCATAAGAAATCAGCATATTCTTATGGAATTTTTGTGTTGGATTATTTTTCAGTTGATGAGGAAACGGCWATGGAACAAGACCCCAGGAATGCCTTCCTGAATCACCGTGGCCAGTGGAAGAAACCCAGGAGATTCAGACAAAAGGAGAACAGACACAAGAACTCAAGGACATTTAAGGGAGCCTCCCATCTCAGGAAGCAAGCTTAAACCCAGTACTCAGCRCTGCAGGTTTAGCAATAACCGGCTGTAAATAAATACCACAGAGGAAAACAAAACTGGAGAGAAGGTTCAGCGCTGTGCCGTCCTGATGGAACAGCTGCCGCCATCCAAGGAGTTCCTGTAAGCGCTAAGCAGCACTTTGGGCAGCTCAGCAGAGACCAGAGACCTCCTGCAATGGTCACCTCGTGTGACATCGGATTTGGGGGGAGGGACATGGCCCTCTCACCATCCCCTTCCCCTGCCTACCAAGGAGAAACCGACATAACGAGCCCCTGAGAGAGCTGAGCCGGCACATACAAGGCAGGCAGCCTTATTAAATCGAGATGCATAAATAACAAGTTCATATCAAGCACTGACATCTGGGAAATTGAAAAGGRTTTTGAAGGGGAACTGACATTTATTAGCTTGCACACTTTGTGTGTGAAAGATTGTGGGTTTTGTAAAGTATCCTTTTCATAGAATTTGGAAGCAAAATATAACTGTAATGGGAAAAAAAAAAAAAAAAGGACTTCTCTCTGCTGACTGACAATGCCAAATTTTGAAACCATGGAAGGATTCAGTCAATATTCTGTACAACAGCTACTATTCTCATTTAAGGACAAAAGATGACTTTATCAAATAAAAAAAACTGCATAAGCATGCTGTCATCTTTTTTTTTGTGTCAATTGACACACATTTTAAACAAAAATCTTCCCCCTGCTGTCCCCTAGCTGGAGATGTACAATTTTTAGTGCATCTCTGATTGGCTGTGGCAGATGGTCCACAAAAATGCAACTCAAATTGTTTACAAGTACTACTGTCTTTCAGCTTCTCTGATCCTGACTCTCAAGTTCAAGCCCAAACTGGCAAGGAATGAGAARTGACTATCATTACTGTCCTCAGTTTACTGTCCCTGTCTGCTAGTGATTGCTGTCTGCAATCACCTGTCATTAAAGCCGTTTGTCATTACCCATCCTGCAAAAACAGAGTGGATAATGTCTTGTCCGAGATTGTGTGTGGTTTGCACAGGTTCTGTTCTCATAGACTTTTAAGAATTCCTTGGAATAATTTTGTAGAAATACTAACAAGGCCATGACCACAAGTTTAAAAAAGCACTGCAGTTTATCAAACCTGTGGAGAAAACAGAATTTAAAYAGCAAGTACCTTTACAGTCCTCTCCCATTTTAATACTACCCAATTTTAAAAAGACATAATTTATCCCACTGGTTTACATCTATGCAACTTACACAGAAGAGGCACAGGTGAAGAGACAAGTGTTTGCAATTGCAAACATAATGTTTTGCAGGGAAGCTCAGACAGCTGCAAAGAATTTACTTTTTACATTTAAGGATGGTGCCTTCTTAGGGCAGTGATTGGGATATTGATCAGATGCTAAAGGAATTGTAACACACAATCCCTAAAACTCATTCTCTCAGTGCTCAAAAAAAGATTGGCAAGGACCACATGTGAAAATACAGAATTGAAACTGATTTTGTTAATACCACAGTGTGTCTAAGAATGGGGAGATTTGAAATGTCCAGAAGTGGTAACACTCTAAAACAGCACTTCACCGTAAAATGCTGGTAGGGATACCAAAAATAATACCATATACATGCACTTACTGAGTTGTAATTGATAACATGTAGGAGGATCTGGCATTCACGACTTAGTAACATGAAATAAAAATTCTCAGGCCTTGTTTTCAGTTCCATTACTGAATAGTGCCAAGAAATATGTTTTCATGCTACTGGTACGAATTACATCATTGTATCCTATGTAATTCCTCCAAAAAGGAAAAAAATATATTTTTAAATAATACCATAGAACTAAACCTTTGTCTAGATAAGTTATACATAATTTAAATATATATATGAAGAGAGTAATTACAAAGAAATAATATATCTTCAGTTACTGCTCTCGCTGAGGAGTCCTCTCTCTTCTTGTCTCTAGCAATAATGTCAAGTTATGACTCCACTCCACCTACAAGCAGTAAGCATGTTTAAAACCTTCCTGCCTGTGACTGCTTCCCCTTTGCTTCCCAGAACAGAATTTAAAGTCTCAACATTTAAGTTAGAAAGCTAYAGAGAAAGATGGCAAAATGATAAAGGATGGTGAAACCACTTTTGGCTGGGGAACAAGCAAAGAGAATGATTGTTAGCTGTCTATTCCAGTATTTGCAGTGATGCTGTCCAAGGAAGCTAGAGCAAGAGCAGGTTCAAATCACACAAAAAGYGATTTTAGTTCTTTATTTTTCCTTAAGACACACAGAATGGTTAAAATGCCTGCCAGAGGAAATTTTAAAAGCAATTAGCCAAACATCAGAGGCAGATAAACACAAAAGACTGATAGACCCTTATGTCTTTGAAAATCGCTCAAAGATGAAAGAATATTTGGGGAAGTTATACTTTGTAGTATAGTAATTATACTTACACACACCCCAAGGCAAATACCAGAAGCCTCAGAGATCTGGGGCAGTTAGTCATTTAGCCTGACCCAGTACAGCCATTCATATAGGTTTACCTCCAAAAACTCTGGTAGAATTTTCCTCAYACCAAACAGAATATTTTAGCACTACAGGAATTATCACAGCATTTCTAATGCTTGTAATCTGCATTAATATTACTCTTAGCTTCTTTTCAAGTGCAATATGAAACCCCCAAACAACTGAGCAGTGTGAMAATCAGAAGTTTCAAACCTTCCAGAGGTGTAGTCAGTTCAGTATTTCTTTTATTCCATCTGTCTGATGTCTTCTGTGGCCAAACTAAAAGTTGCAATACAGTTTGTCAAATAGAAGAATACTTCAGGATCAAGAAACACTGTGTACTATAGTTGCTCATTKCTTTGAGCAAAAAATCTTTATTGTTTAAAGTTTTTCATTGGAGCTTCATACTTGCCCTTTACGAAACCTTTATCTAAGAAACAATCTGTAGAACAAGTCCAACATTTATTATGAGCCCTTAGGTTATCATTATTAAAAAGGAAGATCTATTAAGTGTTTTTGTGTAAGACCCACATGACTCACTTTTCTAAGTATTTAAGCAGAATTAATTACTGGAAAATGGGCCTGTAATTGTATTTGAAATTGCCCATGTATTATAAAATTGGCTTGTGATGTGCCTTGAGAACAATTTCCTTTTTTGCATGTGTAGTTCTTGCTGTAGATACATCACATATTAAAAAGTAACAATGAAATTAATCAGAATTGCACTATATTCCAGAACACTGGAATAATTACATACAACCAGAATCTGTAAAACATKACTATTTTTAGGACTTAGAGCTTATGTTTTTCTGCATGACAATGGCTGTTTAATTAGCACATATTTAATCAATGCAAGTGACAGTCACAAGCTATGCTGACCTGAAAATACTAATATTTTTTCTCTGAAAAAAGGTTCTACTAGTATTTGAAGGAATAGCTCAGTGAAAATAAAATTGTTTCAAGAATATTATATTTGCAATTTTAAGGATTAAGTACAATTACCAATATTGATCTAGTGTCTAACTAATCAGACCAATACAAATCAATGAGTTCAGGTAATATGCTTTCCTCCCTAAATGAGACCTGCAACTCATACTACACGATAACAAAAACACTCTAAAGATTTCTATATAGCTTTTTCCTATGCTTTTGTAGGAAAAATCCACTAAGACATCCTTCTAAATGCACGTGTCCATTTTGACCTACACTTACGTATCCCAAACTTGCCACTTCTTTGACAACCTCCCTACTCACACAGTGTTGTGGCAGTGTTATGGCTGGATGGGGTTCTCTACCCGTTTCTGAAAGGCAGAATATCTCTGGTTTTGAAGGAAAGCAGGTAAGACTGTTGTTATCTGCTAATTTTCCGGGTAATGTGGATGCAATTGAGAATGACTATATATGTACAGAAATCAACATCTCCGTTACTGTTGTCTGATGTTATCCAAACTATGCAGAGCCAAAGCTAACAAGAACTTCTGTTACACAAGCATGCTGACAGATGGCAGCCATCTAAACTGAGAATAGCACCAAAAATACATCGCTCAGAAGTGAAGAAGAATGTAGTGAGAAGTTTTATGATTTGTTTTATYATCTGAAAACCACAGTAGATCCTAACTGAGTGAACTCAGTAAAACAACTTGCAGACTGAGGAGCATTTTAACTTCTGCTGTGATGTTCAATCTCTGTTTTGGCATTTCTTCTCCAAACTACAGAAATCAGGATGTTTACTGGAAGATGTTTGAAAAACASTGGTACTTAAGTGCCAGGCAATCGCGCCACCCTGCTGGCAGCCCTGCAGACCACTCGCACTAATCCCTCTTTTTTAAGTTTCTGTGACCTCTAGAATTGCAGTTCTCAGAAGTAATATGCTCACTTTAAAWATCCTCCAAGCTTATGTCCGAGTGCCAAAAGTCATACAGAGAATAAACAACTTTATTTTATAACAGAATTACAGAAAGCAAAATATCACTTAATACAACTTTAAGCTACTATAAATCTAATTTGGCATTTTAACTATACACAGAGTCAACAGCAAAAAAAAAAAAAAAAAACAAAAAACAAACAACCCACCTGCAAGAACAAATTAAAAATAAACCCCAATATAATTAACAGGTTTTTGCCATGGAAGTCTCAACTGATGGTACTCTCTTATTACTTTATGAATGGAGCCCATCTTACACCTTTTATTCAGTATTCTAAAAACCTGCATTAACCATTAGAGGAAGCATGTGAAATGTATACCTTCTCTGTAACAGAAATGTCAGTTCTAACATGGAGACACAGTGAGGTTTAATAGCAAGCGAGCATTCTACACATGTATTCAAATAATGGAAGTATTGAAATTGGGACACAGTAAGAAAAAAAGCACTACGGTTTTAAGCTGCCTAGATCATCTCTTGTTGGAAAAAGAGAAAGATATTTTGTTCTTCCTTCTTTCCTTATCTGGAATGCTGCAGACAACAAAAAGTCTGCGAAAAGTTGAGCATTGGCACCAAAGTGCAAAAAGAACACAGTGCTCAGTCAGAAGAAATGTGTCTGCAACTCCTTCTCCTCTACAGACTGCCACACCATCTCTGCTCCACAGAGAGGAGAACCTTAGAACAGAAAGAGTTACAGAGATACCAGTATAAAATTTATCCAAAGAAATATATTTTTTCAAATTTTAGCAAATGTTTTATTTTTATAAAAAACTTTGTTATGTGATATCATATATTTACCTGAATAATCTGAAAAAAATTCTGTAAATTACTCCAGTAAGAGATTTCATTTGAAATATTTGAAAAAAACTATATCTAAATTAGTAAAGATCCTCCTTCCTGCACAATTACCACCTGCTCCAGTGAACAATGCTTTCCAGACTTCTTTTGTTCACTTTCATATAATTAAGAATCTGTTTCAAAAATACAAGTATTTGTGCAAAAGATGATCATACCCTCTAAAATTTCATTAAAAAAAATCTCTAAGATTGTTAAGAAGTGGTTATAAAAATAAACAAGATAGATTGTAAGGGAATATAGACCAAAGATGTTAAAATGGAGTTTGGTATTGGCATTTAAGTCGTGAACATCTGGTCACCGTAACTAGGCTTGGTGGATTCAGTGGAGTAGTGATGACTTGGAATGATTACAGTTCTTCGTGGTCAGWATCATTTTATTTCTGGAAGAAAAAAGGAGGTGGAAGATTACATAAGCATTAATAACAGACACCTCATGAATGTCACATCAGAGTCAGAAAGTAACTTTCTCTATACAGGGTTCTTAGGTTTTTTTTACAGAAAGGGAAGGTTATTTCATAAAAAAAAAGGTTTCATTGACTAAAACCCCCTTCAAACATTAGGCAAACAGTACTACACTTTCTCCAAGTACTCATCTTGCTTTAAGACATTTTTCCCTCCCCAAAATTCTCATGTTATTTTAATTGTAGCTATTTGCAGTTCACTGAAAATTTTAATCCACAACCTAAAGCATGAATAAAAAAGGATGGTACTTGTTCAGTTCAGTAATCCCTCAGAAAGAGAATGCAGTATCTTTTACTTTTATTAGAGGAAACAAGCCTACACAAAGAATACTGCTGTAGTCATCAGAGCTTTCATCACCTCAGCAACAAMRATGCAAAATTCATTGCATGACTCCATTGCCTAAGCACCGGAGAGCAAAGGGCTCCTGACAGATACTCAAGGCACTTCAGSTGGCTTCCTTTTATTTAGATGACTAAATTTTTTCCCTAAAGTTTAACTGAAAGGCATCATCAGTCAAACAAGGCTCCAGGTCTGACACAAAAGTAGCATGGAGAAATGTCCTTTTCTGTTCTCTCACAAGCCTTGCAGACCATGAGCCTGTAAAGCAATTGGCAAACTCAGACAAGAACATCCAAAACACTCTGGTACTTTCCAAACAACCATTCCACAATGTATATGTTTCCAAAGTTTATAAAAAACAACCCTGAGACAATGGAAGGAATTCTTTGAATGCTTTTTTCTCCCAAATAATTTTTTTACTGAGTAGTTAAATATTTGATGAAGGAACAGAATAAACTTTGCAGCTGGTCACTAATGTAGAAACACGGTGCAAACGTGCCAAGATAATTTCTTCCTCCCATGACACAGTCCCTTTTAGAAAGATATAATTACTCCTATGGGATAGATCCTGTCGAAGTACTGGATTAAGGTAGCATGAAGAAACTGGCACATTCTACACYCATATAAGGGAAGAGGCAATCCCTGCTCCCAAGACCTTTAAATTCAYACTGATTATTAAAAAATGCAAAATGTGATGGTAGCACACATAACAGTAAAACTTTGCAAATCCAAACCATCTGTTCTGCTGTCTCAGTGCAKCTTTCTACCTTAGATCCTGCAATGGAACTGCTGAAAATATTTGAGGGGTGGTTTTAGTGTCCATGTTTAATGTTGCTATGTACCAAGAGACCAGTGAAATCACCCAAAGCACAGGCATTCTCCTTACTGCAAACAGCTCTCACAAAAGCAATGTTTATTTTTCCAAGCCTTCTGGAACATTTATGTGATGTAGGGACTCACTGGCACCCCCCATCTCACTTAGTTCAGTACAGTTCCCTGTCCTCTCCTGTGCTTTCAAAACAGAACTGGAGCACACATGTTATACTCATTTTCAGTGTCACTAAGCATCAAAGCCACGAAATAAATCTAACTGAATGCTGAAACAAATGTACAATGAGAAAACAGAGATCTGTGGTTTTCCCCATCCCTAGGGTTTCYAGCATTATCTAATGTGAAAATAATTTTTTTTAAGTATTAATGCTACAACATTAATATCCAAGTGAGTGTTGACCTAGCACTTCTGAATGTGATCCATGTTTTCTCCTGGTTTGTACACAAATGAACAAAAATAATAAGTTTCTTTTTCAAACACACAATAATCTGACCAAGTTTGAAGAAATTTTCTGGAGGCAGCTCAAACTTAGTTCTACTGTGTTTTACAGCTTGAAAAATKATGTCAATTTACATGCTGAGAAGCTCAGAGGAAAACTGGCCAGAAGATACTGTCTAAAGGTGATCAAAACAACCATCGTGGTTCTAGCACAATCTGTATGAGGTCAGGAAAGGCAACTGGAACCACTTTTCCTGTCTGCAGGCAGAGGGCAGGCATCCTACTCTTATCCTCATATTCTCCACGGCATTAAACACTGCTGCTCTATGCAGTACACCACGCAGCAGGAATTCAGGACAAACTCTCAGGGGAGTTATGTGTGTGGTGATGAGACCCAGCAATTCTGCCAGCAGATGAGAAAAACTCTTGCCCCAATACCCCACCACAGGCAGTCTCTTAAATGACCATATCCATATCAACAGCTGACAATGTATATTAGCTCTCCCCTTCCTCAGCCACACACACAGGCAGCCCCATTACTATCCAGATGTTACGAGACACTTGCGGGTAGATTAAATAAACTAAGGCTTTAGTCTGTGCTTTTCAGCTGAAAATATRCATCTGTTATCAGACTAGTTCAGGAAGAGTCCAATTCCTTGATAACGGTCATCCTCCATGGAACAGCATTCAATAGATGCACTACATATCCTCTCAACTGGTATTTGAATCTTTTCTCTTCTGGATCTCACAAGTGATACTCRACAGTTAAAGCTTCAGCTCTTATGAAATTCAGGCACAGGAATAAAATTGATCTTTTCAACATGACAAATTATCAGGATTATGTGAAAAACATCCTCTCCTCTAGTAGCTTACGCCACATTTGGAATCAAGTCAAGTGTCTCATTTTTCATATATTCCTGGCAMTTCATCACTGTGCTCAAGTCTGCTAAAGCTGCAGATTGAAATTTATAATGGGTAGTTTGCTTTGGTAAAGAATTTTGTTCAATAGTAAGGGAATGCCTGCCTGCATAGGACATAGAAGTCTCTTGTCCACAGGCCACAACCACCACTGTATAAAATACTAAACCAGGGAAATAAGAATCATGACTACTCTCATTTCTTTAAAACATACAAAATGTATTTATTTTATCTTGCCTTCCCCTACATCAACATTGATCAAGGTGCATAATAAAAGCTTGACATTGTACTAAAACAATTTTCCTTTTYGAGATGTGACAATAACACTGCTGCTCTTCTAGCTAAATACAGAGACCAGTCAGTAAAAAAAGTCAGAGGTCTAAGTCTTCTAATGAAGACTTAAATCACTGGTTTTTAAACTTCATTTCTTTATAAATGTCTCCCATTGATATTTAACTACTCCACACAAAACCTTTTTCTTTAATCTGAATCTATCATTAACAAAACCATCAAGTCTGAAAAAACTTGAAGCTTGAGTCTCATAGCAACAGTGTGACAAGCAAAGGAAATCTGAAGCTTTACACCCCCAAATGGTTACCMAGCTTTAAGACATAAGCCTACAATGAATGCAAGAGCAGATTTATTCAGTGTTCATCCTGATCTTTCTATTGAATATATGAAGCAGAGCTGTATTGTGGTTTTTCCTTTTTTATTTTTCTCTACCTAGGAAGGAGGGCCTAATAAACTAACATTACTTCAAATAGCTTTTTCAACAAACAAAAGGCTTTGAAACTTGAGCTTCCAATGCATTTACCCTCTTGCATAGGAAAATGATAAAAGGCCAAGAATTTCAGTGATTAAGGATTAGCTGACTAAAGTCAAATGTCCAAGTTTGGAAATTACAATCTTCACTTTTAAACAAGCAAGATGTTAGGTAACAACWGTAATTGTGCAGGTAAACGGGAAARTGTGWTRCATCCTTCATATTTTGCATAAGTAGCCCAAACCCACTTCAATGTAAACTATAACAATTTAACCAAACATTGTAGAAAATGCCATGACAGTACTGTGACAAAACTGGGAGACATATGTAGGAACATTTGCAACTGAAATGAATGTCAAATTAGACCAAAGATAAAAATTCTTACACTAACAGTCYTCTATTAGCACCTGTTTCAACTCACCCTCTTGTGAAATGCCTATCTTAAAGAAGTCCCATATTTTTTCAGCTGAAAAGACACAAATGCAAGGGAAAACTGATGCTATGTTTTTCCTGTGATAATTATATATGCTATGTTATTACATAAGCTTACCTGAAGTATTTGCTTGAGGGCATTTTTKATTTTAGTCTTCATCTTCCTCAGCAAGTTCAGTTTCTTTGTGCACCACCACTCTCGTCACAGACATGTCAGGGTGCTGTTCTTTGGCTTCTTTGATTGCCTGTGCCAGGGCCTGAAAATGTATTTGAAATATGGAACTTAACAGGACCAAAAAGACATACAAGCGGGGCCAGAGAATTGGAAGAGTAGCTTTGGAAAATTTGGTTATAATTTTTACAGAACTGTAAATTCCTGAACTTGAGAGAGATCAAGGGTAAAAAAATCAACCTAACMCCAAATCAAACCAACTCCCAAAACACAAAACCTAAACGGAAGGGGAAAAAAAAACCTAATATGCTAAAAATTTCCAGGAGGCAACAACCAACGAAGAAGTTGTAAGATAACTTTCTAGTTAATCTCAGAAGAAAAAAGTATTCTTACATCCCAGATGTTTTTTAATTTCTGCAGAAGATGTAACCAATAATGCCTTAACAAGAATATAAGACAGTATAGAAAAATAAGAGTGCCCTTGAGTTTCCTGAACAAAACAGAAAGATACTTTGGAATAAATRTTTAAGTATGGTACTGAAACTCTGGAACAAGTTCATAACAGAAATTTCTTTCTCAGTACAAGAATGCAATTTTTCTTCCTGCACAAGTTTTAGAGAAATTTCTCTAACTTAATTCAGGGAATTGTAAAKGTAAGTATTATCCAGTTTCTTACAATCCCTCCTCCCCACTCTGAGAAATTTTATCATCTTAAGAGGTTTACAAATATACCCGGTTGATCATTTAAGTCCCTTCCAACTGAACCATCACAGGTGAAATAGCACCGAGATTTTCTTGCTCTGATCTACACACCTTATTTCAGTGAGCTGTATTACTGCTGGAACCCAGCGTAAGAAAAAAACAGAAGTAATGGGAAGGCATTCAGAGGCAACAGTTCACCTGTTCACCTTAGTATCAAATACAACTAAAAAGCCYCCAAAATTATAGAAGTAGCAAGAAAAATACAATGCAACAAAAAAGTTTATCTTAATTTAGAAAAGTGACTATTTTCTGAGCTAGCTACAGGTACTACGAGAGAGAAGAAGTAACTAACTCTGAAGAGAAATTAAAAACACCAACATTAGGCACCCTAACTGTTAATGTGATACTGAATTTGAAATCCAATTAAGAGARTATGTATAGGACACATGATGTGCATTGGTACAATACTGATGTTTTCTGTTTGCTTAGAATCACACCGTAAGCAATGAAAAAGCCCTAAGTCTCTAACTGTTAAATTACAACAAGTAATACAAATATTTGTATTCTGAAACTCCAAATTGAAATATTATTTTCCTATTGAAAACTGCTTTAGTGATACAGGAAGCTAAAAGACAAAATAAAAAACATCCAGCATGTACTTGGGCATTTAAGAAGCTCCATATTCATTCAAGAAAAAGTGACAGATATTAGATTCTTAAAAGCTGCTCACTGCTATTATAAACTTCAGTGCTTAAAACTGTATTTTGAACTTCCTTTGGTATAACTTAATTTTTTACTTCATTATTCACTCATCTCAAATTAAAGAAGGGCTATGAGAATTGTCTGGTATGCTAAAGTTATTTTGTGTCCTTTCCAGACATCTGAAGTGCACTGCATGTGTGTCAAGGCAAACAAGAGCCATCCATGCCTGATGCGAAACAGCCCTGTCATTTAATTACCAGTTTCAAGAAGAGATTCAGCTTTTCAAAAGATACTTTCTGGATGCAAATCAAAATGTGAAAATAGATTCCTTAAGAACTGTCAATATATTACAATTTGTAAGTTAATTTAAACCATGTTATGCTGATTTGTGAAGCCTTTTCTTTTATGAAGTTTTCTTTTATTTGTGAAGCCTAACTTTTATGAAGTTAGAAATTGATTCACTGCAAGGTAGACTTTTCCATCTGTATTATCCAATGACTGTTGATTGCCTTTGTTACTATAGTTTCTTAGATGAAAAAAACCTCTGTGTAATCATCACTAYGAAGACCAGATAATTGAGTTTTCTCAATTATTTTCCTGTTTACTCCTCAAACTTAGCCTTATTATTAATTGGGCACATAAAAGGCATTTTAACCTTCGTTTCTAAGATATTGTAAAATACTGCTTCAGTACTGATGGAGATGAAAGGTACATACAATTTCAGCAGATCAACAATTACTTTTGTTTTACRTAACTCTACAAATACTGGCCAAATCCTAATTTTTAAATTGAGCAGTTTATATTTTAATGTATTTCAAAGCTTTCAGTCAAAATGAGCACTGCATTCTGATGTTTACAACACAATGCAGTAGTGACCCCATCCACCCAGATTAGCGTATCAAAATAAGATTATTTCAGTAATGCTTTTCCTCCCAGTGCAAAAGCTGCACTAAATAAACTGGGTCTCTTCCAAAAAGAGTAATCCCTTTAAAAATAGTAAAAATCCATTCACATGATCTATGATGCAAATTTACAAATGTTGTTTTTCTTTCATGTATATTCAAAAGGCTTCTTATTTGCAAAACATGACTACTTAATAACCATGCCACAATCAACAGTCTCAGGGTCTTTCTATATTATTTTATTCAATTTTTGTACCTTTCTCTTACTTCAGATTTCTGAAACATCATCTAGATCTCACCAGACTACAAACTCCACATTTTAAGTGGAGTTTAAGTGGAGTTAAGTTTGCATACTCACCTCATCATGGTCAATATCTGCATCTCCAGTAATGACAATGCGCTTCTCAATTCTTGTTTCTGATACTCCACCTTTTACCATCTACACATGGCAGAAAAAAAACCCCAAGAAAACATCCCTGTAATTATTCCATRTTTCCACAAAGCACTCCTTTCTGTTGCACTGAAGCATATAGTTTTCTGTGTCTGAGTCGCAATTAGCAGTAAATGTGTTCAGTGCTAAATCATCCTTTCCTTCTTCAGCTATGGTCCCATTCTAGCAACTGTTAAACYTGATAAAAATCAAGCAATAGAGAATTACTTCTGTTACTGGAGCCCATGTTTGGCAATCTGTAATTCCAGCTTCTTCCASCATACAATCTGGCACTATGGCAATTCCAAGAGCCTTTTCTTTGATTTCAACCCTTCTATCATGGGCCTCTCCTCAGTCATAATCCTATGCCATTAAATACAAAGATGATCTGGTTTTCAGTTCTGCCATTCAAAGACCTTCAYCAGATACTTCCAAAATATTTCACACTGCTGAACACTTTTGTGCTTTTTTTCACTTATTCTCAGTATTAAAATGCTTTAGCTTATTTAAAAAACCTCACAGAAATAAAGGTTATTTGCCTTTTAAATCAGCCTTTTAAATTTGCCTTTTCTCAGTGCATGAGAAAAGCATAAACTACTACTCAAGATACACTGACCATACTAGAGAACAGCCAAGATGACTCTGCTAAGACCACCGTTTGAACAATGAAACTATTTTAGCAGGTCCCTTTATGAGTAATGAATAGTCTGGGATATAAAACAGAAAGTTAACTTAGAAAATTTAAACAATCCTGTTACTGACTGTTTATCATCAGTTCAAAAAAGTAAGGATCAGCTGCATGATGGTAATCCCTGTAATTTTTCAGCAGAAGACAAGAGTGAAACCATTTTCTTTAACTGTTCCTTTCAAGAAGCAAGATTATTTGACATCTGAACTTGACAAGCAAACGTACACTTCCTGTCAAAACTGTGGTTGAATCCATTGAATAAAGGTTTTTTCCTAAAATAGTGTGGCTTAATGATTCCAAAAGGGAGCAGGAGTATGAAAAGGATCTGTTGACTGGTCTGTACAACAAAACATACCATTTTCAATTCTGAGCTTACTTTATTTCTTGTGACTCGCTTTCCAGCATTATCCTTCCACTGTCATTTTGTGCATACAACTTTCAATCTTCAAAATATTGCAATTCTCAGAAAAGATATCCAGTGAGAAGCGAGTTATTTTTTAATTCTGTCACGTTGTTAAATTTCTGTGTCTTGGGGGGAAATCCTGAATTCCCAACTTATGTTTCCCTCTTCCATTTTGCTTTGCCCTAAACAATGTTTCTGTAGTTTTCTTGGCAAAAGATGCAAAGAGTTAAAGAGGAGTTGAAAACKGTGTTGTTTAGGCATGTCTAAAATTTGACAAATATTTACATAAATTAGCAATAACAATAATCATCATCACACTTTGGTAGTTCTAACACTCTGGCATGAAACATTACACGTTTCCTGTTTTACATGAAACAGATGTGATGTCCTGTTAACACTGAGTTTTCCTTTCCTTTTCAWGCATGGAATGCAGAGCAAATAGTTCAGCACCCAAATACACTTGMAAAGTAATGTAGCAGAATGATCTGTTTTTAAATATATCCTAAACCTAGCAGCACAAGGATGATCAACACAAAGTCTGGAAAAACATTGTTTCAGTTCATTCACGTGTCATTAGCAGGGCTCCTGTGGACTTAACACAAATTAGTTACATTAGCAAAGATTCTGCAAGGTATCAGTGAGTGATGACAGGACTGAATCGTTAAAAATTCAGTTACATACTCATTTGTCAAATACTGAAAGTAAGACCTATGTGAACTATTAAAAACCCACTAATCATATTTTCCCCCCTTTCCCTGTCCTGTTCCCAGATATTGCTTATTCATTTAGGACTTCTCTCTTCAAAATCCGTCTATAGACAGATTAACTCACACACACCTGGAACAAATCCCRTCMRTTTCAAGTTACTTTTCCTCAATGAWTTAGCAGATACACARGAAACTTCACACAAAATTGTGGTTTGAGGGTCCAGTGTCTTTTTTAGTTAAGAAAGACATTAGATATATTTTACCTTTGTGATGTGTGTAGTTGTGGTGGTGGAAATGGATTCTGATGTAATTGTCTGTGCACTCACCAGCACRCCACTATCACCAACAGCATTGCCATCAAGCTAAAAGGAAAAAAAACGGCATTTTTGTATTTTGGCATTTAAAAATCTTTGTTTTCACAGGATAAAAGGCTAGTTTTCTTATTAAACACATTCTTTAATTCAGCTAAAACTGAAATCTAAATAGAAGCCATCTAAGTTTAYAGAGTCATGTAAGGCTATTATTATGGCTCATTCCTGTGGAAAATTTATGATCACAGTTCCTTTCAGGAGCAATGAGGTATTTTAATCAASTTTCCAAAACTGGATTTAAGTGAGTTATATTTTTGCAGATGGCAACTAAATAGATGTAGAAAATTAGAACTTCTGAAGTAATATGGTTTTCTAACATTTCACTTACCTAATTCATAACCAAAGTATATTTTTACCAGCTAGAAAAAAAGTACATGCTTTTGAAAAGCATTTTGGGACATTATCTCTTTTAAACTATGTAACCAGGACAAAAATAAGACTGCAAACAATAAGCAAACCGATCACGATACCTGTGAGGATTCATACGTGATAGTTTTAGTTTCTGTTTGAACAATTGGAATTTCTTTAGTGGAAATTTCAGTTCTCTGTGYGGCATCTGAAATGGTTACCATCTCTGTTTTCACTACTGGAGGCTGTGATGCAAGAAATCAACAATCAGTTCAAAAGACAGAAGAAGGTTTGTAAAGTGGACCAAGAAAACACAACCAAAAGGTCAAAAAAAAATAATAGTATTTGACTGACTTTCCACAGAAAAAGCATGCAATAAATAAGCAAAATGAAATGAAGATTAATACATCTGCCCTCTAGTATATAAATAACACTGTAGGAAAACGTAATCTGCTAATAACCTTGTCAAAGTTCAGTGTTTCGGCCAACAGTACATATCAAAGAGTGATTGCTAAAACAAAGCTACAACACATATATTGAAAATGTGTAAAAGCACCACTATGAAGAAAAGTAAAAAGYTTAGTTTGCATAAAGAAATTGATAGCTAGCTCAGACAGATGAATTTTGTATTAGAACTAGTCTGGGAAAATACCTATCACTCCTCACTCTGCAAATCAGGACTAGAAATTTSGTAAAAGTTTAACTTTTAATGTGCACTATTCTGGAAAAGAAAAACTTATGAAAATTGGATTTTAAGCAGTGTAAATTTAATGCAATAATTCTGTAAGCCAAGGATTTCTWTTGAACAGAGATCATAAAAAGCCACTTTAACAATTTAGAGTTAACTAGTATTCTCTGCAGTATCACAAACAAAGCAATTAACCTGGGGTCTGTAAGCTAACGAATTCATGAATTATCTTATTGGAACAGATTTTCGTTAGATTTAAGAACTAAAGTTTTTGGATATTTTTCCAGATGCATCAGCTGCTATCTTATATCGATTTTGGATACAGATGGGGTAAAATTCCAGGAAAAAAACCCCAAAACCCTTTCATGCTCGCATATAAGTAGCTCTTCTTCCTCCAAACTATCTATGTTTTTAGGAAGTATGAGTGCTTGCAAATTTTAAAAGTCTAATAAACTAATCCTTTCAGGTCATTAATCAGAACAGCTGTGGATGTAAAAGACAGCAAAAGAAAGGAGATGTTTGGATTTAGAAGAAAAAAAAAATTGCCACCATTACAAGAACAAGCAGGTAGAGAACTACAAAAACCCCACTGAATTGTTGAAAAATTCATCAGAAGATCATGGCAAATTTACAAAGACATACATGCCTGCATTTMATTTTTTTCCCTTTCTGCTTCTTTATCATTTGCCTGGTAATGAACTCTTTAACCTTGTTTGGCTTAGAACAACTGGCTGTGACAGGAACTCATGCATGCTTCCTAAGTATCTAGTGCACTAGAAGACTCCAAAGAAACATTGTGATGTGAGCCTCACCACTTAACAGTGCAGTGCTCTCACTGATGTAATTTCTAGCCTTACATGTTCTAGCCTACAAATCTGCAATGTTTTACTGAAGGAGGAAAAAAAGGCAAGAAAAGCAGTGAGTAATTACAGGGGGGAGAAGGAACAAAAATTTGTGGCGCATGCTTTCCAATTTCAATTTGCAAGTWTTCCAATCACAATTACATGTCATGGACTTGTCAAAAACAGCTGACAAATAGACAAGACAAGACTCAAAACATTTGAAACACGTAAATAATAAATACACATTATGTATGTGCATATAAAATAAGGAGGAGATTAAAAAAAAAAAAAAAGATCTCAGTCTTCGGAAGGTTTGCCTTTACTGGTGATTTTCACTCAGTTCCAGCAAAAAGTCAGAAACCATAACTGAAGGAGACAGAATTTCACTGCTCAACAATGGTTTCCCCTTCCAAATGATCTGAATCTTGTTGGATGCCAGAAGATGTGGAGGAATAGGAGAAGAAGAAAGGCAGGTATATTTTCACCCCAAGAAATATCTCTGCTTAATCTAGTTGTCATACTGTTCTACCATTTACCTCAGAACAACAAATTAACTGTGGTGCAACATCAATGTCAACATGAGACACATCTCCATTGAGTTTGAGCTGTTCCTCCTCTTTTTCTTCACCTAAATCTTGCTTAATTTGCTCTGACAAATTCTTCTTGTCTGTAGCTACATTAACTGTATTTTCCTGGGCCAAATCTTCAGCTGTAACTTGTTTATGCTCAACTGGTGCATTTAGTTTACTGCTTTCCGGTGTGGCTTCCACATGCTGCGTTTGTTCTTCATGTTCTTTTCTTCTCACGTCTTCCTCTTCTTCCTGTTCTTCCCTGATGACTTCCTCAATTGCCCTATGATGTGGCTGGTATTCTCCCACCTCTTCATCCTCACTCTCACTACTACTGCTGCTGCTGCTGCTACTATCTGATGGCAATGATGAAGAGTCCTTTTTTGACAGGTGCTCCACCTTACATGTWTCCCCAGCATCTGTGGCAACTTGCATTTTCCCTTTGTTGGTTTCGTCTACGACTAGTGTTTCTTCTATCCCAAACTCTGCCTGCTTCTTCTCCTCCACTATGTCCAGAGTCTCATGTGAACTCTGCACAAAAAACATGGATGAGGAAAAACAAAAGTAGAGTATATGAATAAATTAAAATGATGAAAATAAAATTAGCTGATGGCTGGTTCATGTCATATGGAAGACAAAAGATGGCTAAGATGGTTAACTGAAAAAAGAGGGAAGGAAAGAATGAAGATGGATTGGAAGAGTTAGAGTCAAATTTAGCCATGGAAAAAATCTGTAGAACCTTATCAGCATCGCTGACTCCAGTACAAGGCCCTTCTGCTCTGGAAGCATGTGTCTGTGAAACAAAAAGCAATTAGAGGACAAAAATCAATGCATAACCTTTTTCAACAGTGCAACATCCTCCAAGCAAGCTTTTAAGAATGTATACACATGACACTAGACAGATGCTACATAGTCACTGCAAGATGCTAGTTTCCTCACACTTCACTGAAAAAATTGTCAAAAGTAGGTAAGAATTACGGAAATTATTATTGGCATAAGAATTGAATTATGAAAGCCTGAAAGTAAAAGCATGAGTGCACCAGCCAGTGATGCTACCGAGGCAGTTATTTCTCTCTGTTAAATCAGGAATTATGAATAAGTATGAAACAAAAGTAAACTGAAAAAATATTGTTTTACTACCAGTTTGCCATAATCAAAAGAAAAGTAAAAAAAAAGGCTTTATTGTAGGGTTTTGTTAGTTGTTTGTCTTTGGTCTGTTACCTTATGAAACTTAATAGATTACAAGAGGAAGACTGTTTAGGGTACTATGTTATCAGAATAGCAATACATGATTATCAAGAAGATCMTACTAGAATTCAGTTTGGAGCCAAAAGGATGATATTAAAGCAGCTATATTAGTATTTCTTCCACAATAAAATAATGACGGCTGTCCAAGAGCCTACAGCAAATGATGCACTAGGTGTCAGTTTTAATCAAATGTATTTTTAGTGAACAGTCTGCAGCAAAATTAAGAGCTCGGATGAAAAGAATACAAAAAATCAACACACCATCTGTGACTTAATCCTAGCTTTTATTGCTGTTTACCTAGCGCAGCACCTACACAGCGTAACCAAGCACCGAATGCTCCCTGTTCGTGGCGCGCTGCAATGTAGAGGTAACTCTACGGCAGGCACGCCGCTCTAAAGCAGGGCGGGGCGCACGGGAGCAGCCGCCCCAGCCCCAGCCCCTGTCTCTGTCCTTGTCCCTGTCCCTGTCCCGGTCCCTGTCCTTGTCCCTGTCCCGGTCCCTGTCCCTATCCTTGTCCCTGTCCCGGCGGGCCCCGGCCCCGCGCCCGAGCAGCACCTGGGGCGGCGCGGCGGCAGCGCCCGTCTGCTCCCCCGCAGCGCCCTCTGCTGGCCCCGGGCTGGCGGCGGCGAAGGGCCCGCTGGTGSCGGCGCCGAAGCGCTCCTTACTAAACAAAATGGAGGTTATCTCCTCTTCCAGGCTCTAGACGGGTCAGAGAAGGGAGAGGGAAGAATTAGRCAGCGGCGGACGGAGCGGCAGCCACCTACAAGGGAATGGTTTGGCAAGAGAGAGACGTGACAAAGGCAAGAGGGAACGAGAGGRGCACGGACAGAGGGGACAGAGCACAGCCGGGCGGCGGGGCTGCGCCTCCAGCGTGCACAACACACCGTGAGAACGGAACACATCGACATTTACACATCGACATTTACACGGATTTCCCAAACAGCACAGTTTGCTTAGCTGGTAACTCCTTATTTGGTACTGGGATTTTTTTTTTGCCTTTTAAAAATCCATTTCTGACACCTTCTAATGCCCAGCTGGATCTGAGCTCCAGGGCTGTCAGACACATTTATTTAGAATACATCCCCACTGCTCTGAAACGTTAAAATATTTCTTACTTCTTTATAACACATGTTATATACATTTTTTTTTAATATTTAAATATCCTAAGCAAATTTATGTTGATTAAAACTCCATTTTCAAAAAGCCTTTCCCATTTTAGTGGGAAAACTTGGTTCTTATTTGTTTTGGGGTTTTTTTTTCAAACACACATAAAAGGTTACACATTGCTTTAAAGCATAAGTAATGCTCATAGTCTGGTCTATAAATATGTATGGTTTAACAAACTTTAAAAGTTCATGTGGGTATAAGGCTCTGAAAAGGCTACAATTCTTTATTYCAGATTTCCTTCCACAAGCTCTGGTAAGAAGTTAGAAATAAAAGCGGTTAAAACAAAAAGCTAACAACATACAAATACATAAGATGGACATAACACAGACGTTGACAGCATTCCATGAGATACATTTCAGCCTTCCTGAAGGGCACTACAGAGAATCAATCATGCCAGAAGCGGACGCCAGAGGAAAGCCAAGGTGCCATGCACACAACTGCAGCCGTGGGGACTCACCGTGTGAGCAGAGATACAGAGTATGAACTGACAGAGGTTACACCATGCTACTGTACATACACTACGACGCATACGGCATGCAAAAAAAACAGAGAAGGAAAAAGAAAAAGAACCCCTAACTTGGGTTTTTTCCTACAATAAATCTCAAAGTTTATTTCAACGGTGGCTAAAAAAAAGCTAATAGGAATGCAAGTTATTAAATATGCCTTCATGCAACACTGAATATCCATCAGGGCAATGTGTTCCTTACCCCTACTTGCTTTCCCTAGTTTACTACACCCAAGAAACGTTCATCTATTAGTAGATTATATCAAAAAGCAAAAATGTTCATAATGCTCCTTTCACTCTACTCAATCTCTATGTGGTATGTGGTCAGACTGTGGGCACCTCTATCCCTATGCTCCCCTTATATACACAATTCAAGACAGGCACATATCACSCAACTTTTTAGCATTTTCCCACCTTCAGATTTTTGGGCCTTCCAGTCTTTTGAAAGGAAAACCCCAGTCACACAATTTGTTTGATAATGTAACCCCTGTTCCCTGAAGCATTTAGTAAAAAAGGACTAATTGTATAGATAGAATACATCCATTTTGTATCAGCCTGTGTTTAAATTCCTGGCAAATTCCTTCTGGTACATGGTCACACACTCTAACATGAAATACTGTTTACAAGCTGCAGGAGATGGATTAAAGAAAAAAAAAATTGTGGGTATCCATAAAACAAATATTTCCCATAATTGTGACATAAACATCAATATCTTAATTTTTGTTTAATTAAGTCACAGATGCTGTGCACTTGCATTTCTAGAAGTATAGTGGCACAAATGAGACGTGCCCAAAATAACATTTCTAATACATGGAAAATTACTTATTTGCAAGCATTTTGGCTGAAGCAAAAGGAGGAAGAAAAGAAAGAATATTAGCAGTGGTATCYTTGCTGTATTCTCATCTATTTTCCAGCTATCCTAAAAGACAGGCAAGGATCAACAGACATCCATCAACAAATAATTCAGGATGGAAATAGTTTCCCAAACATCAAACTTATATTTGTTAGTGAAGTAGGACTGCCAGCTTCACATTAACCTAATAGAAAAACTGATGTAAAAGAGCAATATCACAATTGCAACCCATCACTATCACACTGCTTTTAGTCCCACTGGTTATAGAGTGCTTGCACAGATRTTAAACCAGCTTGTCAGGGACAAAACCTCCCTCTTTTCCTGAATGAAAAGAGAGATACAGAAGTGCAGAAGTACTCAGAACAGGTTGCCTTTGAAACGAAGCTGCACAGCATTAATGATTTGAATAATGATTACATTGTGAACACACAAAGCAAAAAGTTCTTGTGTGAAATGTCAAATAACTGCAAGCAMTTACTTCTGTATAGAATGAAAATACATGTTTTGCTGTCATCCTAGTCACATCAAATACAGTAATTTTTCAGTGAAAAATTGGTTTTCTTTTCAAACAGTGGCCATTCAGAACTTCATGGTTTGTTTGATGTTTAACTGGCATTCATATATGTGTGTATCTATATGTGTACACACAGAGGTCCTGGTTTACAACTCAACATTCTCCTTTCAGTATTGGCTTAAAAAAAGTTATTTCCATCAAGGAAAAAAAAAAAAGAAAAAGAAAGAAGTGCCCAAGCTAGCCCACAGCAGATACAGCGAAAAAAGCAGCAGGTTTCAGGGCAGCCACCTTATTGGTTTCCTCTGGTTTTGCTCCAGCAATCCATGGCATTGAAATCCATTGTTTCTCCTTCCCAGGCAGGGTTTTCACTTGGAAAATGTGGTCTCCTTTTTTCTATTTGGTTTTCATTTTATAAAACCAGTGTGAATCAACAAGCAATGAGACAGACACACACTATACATAAACATAAAACCAAATCATCTGGAAATGACAGAACATACTACAAAAAAAAAAAAAAGCAAAAAAAAACCCCAAACCACCAGATATAAAACAACTTGCAGGGGCCCCAATTTCAAAACAAAGAAATCAACACAGAAAATACACACAACCACATAATAAAGTTACACTTCTAAATAAATATCTGTTTCAACCAAAAATATATTCGTAGCTATTAAATGAACCACTGTGTCATGAATATTTAAAATATGACCAACATTTGTACCTATCCACATACCACTATGTGTAGAAATATTAAAGTACTACTCAGAAAYTTGAGGAATTTCTTGGCAGTAGCCATAAATTAACAAAAAAGTTATGCATAGTTATTTGCTGTGTTCTCTGTATGCGCATACTCACAGTTCAAATCACTTACAGATCTTACTAAAATAGTGTCTTATTATCAAAAATAATTYCATAGCATCAGGCCTGCTTAACTGAAAGTTCACCTTTCTGTGGACTGAAAAGAATGCCGAAGAATTTAAGGGGATAGGACAACAATACATTTAAGGAAGGAAGGGTGGGAACCATGGTGATAGACAAGGATAACAATACAACAAACTGATTGCTTTAAAAGACTGATTTACTCATCTACTGTATGAAAGAACCAGCTAATAACCCAATAAAACTAAAAGTTTGACAACAGCATGAGAAATTTGGGTAGCTTTCTTGCTAGAGGCATTCAAGATGATATTTGTAGAAAACTTTTTTTCATACTGCTGTTTAAAGGTTCAGTCAGAAAGGAGAGGTGTAGAGGAAAAGCAGATAAATTCATTTTTAAAACTTTTAAAGATTAGGATAAGTAATTTTAACAACTACATTAAATGTGTCCTGATGTTAACACTATATTAACTGATCACATAAAGCCCTTCTGAAACAAAATACAGACTGTGTATATTTATCCACAATGTCTATGAAGATATGAAGATAGAAAAAAGGAAGGAAAAGTTCTACTGTCACTGAARAGTTATCTCTATCAATCTGTGTAAATCAGAGTGAAATTTAAAATATCCTYAACATAGAGGAAAATACTGCCATCACTTCCATTTCCTTCAAATTCAATTGTTCATGTAGAAGAATAAAATTACACACACTATTTAAAGTCAGGTCCAATAGTAAGTGGTAAAACAAGTTAATGTACACTTAGTATAAACAAATATTACACCAGACAAATAAAGCGTTAACCTAAAGGACAAACTGCATTTGCTGTATTACATACAGGGTTGTATGGAAAGGCATGCAGACAGGTGTGTGCAGTGACATACCCCTTGTGTCTGTAGGGACAGAGGTGTGATACGCCGCTTTTCCCACTCATTTGGGCGTGGTTCGGGTGTGGATTCCATGAAATTGCGCTTGAGCTCACTAATGCTAGCCTGGTGTTTCAGTAAGTCGTCCTGGGTCTTATCCAGGTCCTAGCAACCCGCAACATAAAACAAAGTAGGACAAAACACGACAACAAAGGCAAACTTAACTCGGAAAAAAAAAAAAAAAGAAGCAACCAAACCAAGGAAAGTGCCTTGTGTCTGAAAAGGTAACCTTTTTTGGAATGCCTCAAAATAAAAAAAAAGTTTAAGGCTATAAGAGACCAAGATTTTTTGGTTTGTTTTTTTGTAATGAAGTCTACTTATTTTCTTCCTTGTTTTAAAGCAAAGGATAATAATGCTGTACATGGGCTTATTTAGCAGTGGGCTACCTTCATCCAAAACATAAAACTACTAGCCCTTTGAAACAATAATAATTTCCAGGACCTGTTTTTTTTTTTCACTAAATTTTGTTAGCACAAAAGAAAATGCTTCAGCATATATAAAATATTGCACAGCTGACATAACTGAAGGTAGCTGTAAGAAAGAATAGTTTAACCCAATTATGAAAAATATCTGTGAACACGATACTACATGGCCAGACAGGCAAGCAGCAAACACCTCCTTAGCTTCAGAGGGATGACTTGTGCCTCTCATGTAGGCCTAAACTTACTGGAAGAATCAGTTTTAAAGACTTAAACCCCATTACCTGCCCTTTCTACTTTTAAGAACCTGACAGCAGACAAASAAAAGTAGGAACAGTTTTTGTGCATGCCAGTACCAAAAAACTGATCTCTCTAAATTGCACCTCCATAGACCAGTGCCCAAGGGGACACCACAATGTGAATACCAAATGAGATTTTATGRTGATTGATTGAGGCCAAACTGAAGCACCTCACATCAAATAACTACAAGGTATACTTTCATTTTATCCCAGCTACAGGGCAGAGGTAAGGTTCAGGAGCTGTGCTGAAATGTAACTGCTCAAGTAACCAGGCAAAAATTTATATGCTTAGCTTTCTTGGCAATACATTGTCTTCTCAATACAATGGCTGGGCTTTGGTGGGAAAAGCAGATTTCACTCTGCTTTCACAATTTATCCTACTTCTACTATTCCAGGTCTCAAGAAAAACCTATGTTGCTTATGCTCAGTCTAACACAAAAATATTTTTTTAGCCATATTCTGTAGTTATATTCAAGTTTAGGCCTCAGATCCATTTTTAGTGAAGAACTGAAAGACTGAAGATTAAAATGTAATAYTATCAATGCAGACATAATTATTAAGGAAGTTTTGTCTAAAGAATATAATCAGAAATAATAATGTAGGTAAAGAATCTGTATTTTTTACAAAGATTCTGCATATTTTTTAGCAGAGTGCCCTGATATTTACCATTTAGGTTAGGATTTTTATTGTCAGTGATCACAATGCAAAGACACTTCACATTAAGTCATGAAAATCCAACCCCCAAGCCCGTAAGTTTCTAGTTTCTTTTCACTTGCATGTTCAGCCCCAGTAAGGGTTTGGAGCTGCACATCTATTTCCTAACCCTGCGGATAAGCCTGCATGCAGYTTGAACATTTGAACCTCTCCCCTTCTGGCAACTCAAAAGGTATTGTCACAGGACCACTTTTCATCCTGAACTAACAAATGAGACATTAAATATRTCCCCCTAAAGTTTGTATTTCCTGAGTGAAGTAAAATCTTATGCCAAAGGCATTCTTTTATACAACTGAAGCTCGTAACAATCGTGTCATTATTTTAAGACCTGTCTTGGCTTGACACAAGGCACATTTCTTGGACTTGATCAAAGCAGTTATGCAATGCACACTTTCAGTGCTTTAGTAAGTTATAYACAAGCAAAGTTTCAATAGTGATCAAAAGCTGCGAAAAGCTGTAAAACATTAGTTGGGTTACTGCAATCCACACATCTTATTACTCGACGAAAACAATGATTTTTTTTTAAAAACAGTTTGTGACAAAGGGAATTATTTATAGCCCCATCTGGATGAATAAAATTAGAACAGCAGTAGGATTTTCTAAATCTTCAGTTATTAGCTTAAGTTATTAATCACAAGATAATGATTCTGATGATAACTACAGGCAGTCTCTGACAAAATAATTGAGATTTGCAACCTATATGAAAATTCTCATAATAAAAACCTCTACTTAAGCACTACACCATGACCATACTGTTCAAAGCTCTTTGCTGTTGCTCATCTTCAATGAAAAGCAACCTTAAAGACATGAAATTTACTTCCATTTGAAAAGGAAAAAAAAAAGCAAGCATTTAGAGTTATCCAAACTTTCCCGTTTAATATCTGATCTTGGCATGATTTCCCAATGCTCCTAAAACCAGTGTCAAAAACAGAATTAGTTTTCTATGCCTACTGCTTGCCCCTTACAAACTCCATTTACTCAGCTAATGTATTTGATGAAGGTTGATTAAAMTGGCAAAAGTTAGAAACCCTGCTCAACCGAAGATGCAAACATTGGGGCGCAATATACAAAAATCCATTTAGTATTATGATTTGCACCCATGTGTTTGCTTATCTAAATAGGGCTATTATTCCCAGTTGCCACCTTGAAAATATTTAGCAGAAATACACAAATTTACGTTCAACGTTCAAGCTGAGGGCTGGTTGTAGTTTTTTTGCATTTGTTTGTTTTTTAAATTCAGAAACTAGAATGATAACATGCAACATTTCCAAGCTGGTTTTCCCCATGCACTTCATGCACTGTGACCGCAACAGCCTGCAAGTGACCTCCCATCCCATGCAGCCTGGCAGCCCATGAGAATGGAGAGTATTTTTYGCATTATATACAAACCTCCAACATTAAATTGCTATGTCTGACATAAATATTTTCCCCGTCTACTCTCAAGGAACTGATCTGTGAATTTGAGCCACATAAACAAAAAAAAACAAACAAAAAAACAAAAATAAAACAAAAAGAACATAAAATGGACCACCAAGTAAATAAAAAAGGACCCTTACAATCAGACAGTTAAATAAAAGAAATAAAATGGTAAGGTGAAAAGGCACTATTCAGACAAAATCCACAAAAAATTTGGGATGCTAACAAGGCAGGCAGCCACAGCCAGGTTCAATTGCAAAAGAACAACCAAGCACCTTCTGCTGTGCTTCCTCCTCTTCATATTCCACCTATGTGAGCGCAGGACAAATCACCAAGAAAAGGAAGTGTTAACATTGGTTTACAGACTAACACAGAGGYTTCATCTCTTTGTAAATGCTGCAAAGCGTGCTGGGTTTTACAGACCTTTACTCTTTCGGCCCCAGATGTTGCAATTAAGCGACTTGGRTCTTCTTGCACCTACATTGTTGTAGAATGGCTGAAGTAATTTTTGGCRTAAGTGGCATGAAAAATGGAAGTTTCACACTGTGTCCCTTTCTTGCTGTACTTTTTATTGTTTCCCAGGTGAAAATTTAAGAATGAGTAACGAAGAAAAATGATATGCATAATTTCTATGGTAAGCGACYTAAATTCTGCAACGAGTTGATGGAAAATGGAATCTAATCCAGGAGTTCTTTTGGGAAAAGAGGCCAAGGTTCAAGTCAAACACTTAAACACTGTATCTATAAACTATCTTAAATTTTAGGAATGTTGTTGTCTTGGGCTGAGCTATTGGCACACACACAACCCCCTTTTTTACATTAATATATTCATTCTTAAACTGCAGTGCATTCTGTTGGAAGTGATAGCTAATCTTTGTAATCTTATCTCCAAGTATTCTGAATGCCTTAAGGAACAGTGTTCCTTAAAAAGCAAACCTCTTTCCASTTGTCTTTCCAGAAGTACAAATATCAACTGGAAATCTTAGGAAAAGATGCATTTAAAAGTCAACACTGTAAAAGTTCATAAATTTGAAGAGGGATTTAYTGCTCCTTTTGTTGCATTTTGGATTCTGTGTAAATGCACATATGATGTGGTACGTATTGCATTTTTATTAATTTCTGACTTATCTGGAGTTCTATTTTCTGTAACTATGTTACAAATTATGGATTGAGTTAGGCTACAGAAAAACAGAGAAAAATCTTTCAAGTCATGTTTTTCATTAATTTAAACTTAGACTGGTATTGTAATAGCATCATATTTTGCATGTCTTTAATACATACATCAGTTTAGCAAACTTAGTTAAATATAACATTAAACAGATCCTGCTCCTTTTTGATTCTATAATAATTGATTTAATATTTTCTTTGAGGATCAAAATAAAAGATGTTTTTCTAGTGGTATTGCYGTAACATGTGCATCAGACATAAGGAAAGGAGGCATTTCATCAGCCACTCCAGATGATCAGAGCAACATACTAGTGTGACTGAGGCTTCTATACAGCAATTTCAGTAGTGTATTCCAAATAATGTTCAGACTTCAATGACGCAGTCTGACACAATCTGCAGCTAACGAATGAAATCAGTCTCAACTGCTGCTAGAGATTAACCAAAGTATGTAAAARAAAGAAAAAGTGCTTTGGACAGACTCAACTTTGCACACACCCTTGTAGAGCTGAAACAATTGAAATCTSGAATAACAAAACACTGATTTTAAAATATTCACAGTTTTCCAAATTCAGCTTTTAGGAATTTAATTTTTCAGATCTAAACAGAWCTTCWGAGATGTGCATTCCAGTCAATGCATGCAGGAGACAAGCATCTTAAAAMCAATTGACAGAGCAAATAGAACTTGCAAARAGTGTCAAATTACATCTATTGTTWCACAGAGCACYTTCAGTATTCAGATTTATGTGCTCRYTAACATTTTGAACTACAATGCAAGTCCACCTGCAGCTCAGTATCTGTGGAATTCAATGAAATTATGCATGCTATAGGAAATTAGGCAGAAAAAYCATGATGTATCTAYTGACTAAAAATCTCACAATGCCATTTTTTCACAAATGAGAAATGCTAAAAAGATACAGATATACACATGTGCGTTTGTGTATTTATATATATATTTACAAGCATGTACACAGACACACCTCTAAACTAGGAAGTGTGCAAAACTGAGTAAGCYTTATGAGAATAAGCATAAATGCARTGTGCAAGTGTCAACACTTAAGCAGCAAAATTACACACCTCCTCTTCCTCTGCTTTGTCATTCAGGTCATTGCCATTAGAGCTACTAAAGGAAGTCACCTTAGGCTCCAGGTAGCAGAGGGACAGAGCGAGAGGAAGGGAAAATGTGAGTGAAAAAGGAATAGACTGGAAAGCAGACAGAAGCAAGACAAAGATAAGGAGAAAAGAGGGGATGAAGGAAGGAGAGGTAATAGGAATATAGTGCTGAAGGCCAGGTGGGAGGAAAGAAATGCAAACATCAGGAAGGCTAGGGAATGTAATATAGCCATCCTCATCAAGCAGCGAACGAAAACTAAAAGAAAGGCATCTGAAGAAGCTGAATGAGACRCACAACTCAGTGCTTTTGTAGTCATTTGTATGGATTCTTCCCTCAACAGCAGGGGAACCTTGACTAGCTAGGGGTCTCATAGATTCAAAGGTATTAATTGGTGAAGCTGTTTTGGTTTTATTATGATCTGATGTTTGTTCCATGGAATTGGACTCTGAAATGTCTGGAATGGTAAGGAGGGACTCTTCAAAGGGATCTTCCTCTGAAATATCTGAAAGCATGTCCATCTCGAGGACAGGTGACAAATTTGTGAGATGGGATGACACAGAATGGATGGGCAGTGATGATGGGTGTATGTGAGTGAGCTGAAAAAAAAAATTCTGTGCACAGTGGAAAATGAAAGCACAACAAAAATGCAAGTTTGAAAAGGCACATGAAGAGGGGGAAAAAAGAGAAATTATTAGTTAGTGAAAACTTTTACTTAGAAGAAGGGATAGCTTTACTAACGCAATAGAAATAAAAATATAAATCCCGTTGTGTTTTACAAGCAGCCAACTTGTTTACTTCTGTGGATTATGAAAGGAACCCATTACGAATGTTTTGTTCACAGGCTGTAAAGAACTGTGCACTTTTGAACTGTAATAGTCACTTAAAACAGATGGAAGCAGACAAGACATTCAAAGCTTTGGCAGAAAGGTCAGAGGACAGTGCAGCACAYGAACGACAAGCCAGCACTTTGATTCTTGGGTTTATAACTGCTTTCTCTTAAGACTTAAAGAGAGCCAGAAAGGAAAAGAAGCATCTGCACTAGGGTAAAAAAACAGCTGTTCACAGGATACGCATGTGTAACAAAACCTTACTGAACAGTTTCCTGCAACAGCTCCCCAAAATACTGCCTCCCAGCACTGTTTCGGTTAAAATATTGAAAGATGCACCACTTTGAAAACAAGAAACTATCACCATTTCACCAAACCCAAAGGCTTGGTAAAATATTAATTTATTTTGCCATTTTTCTCCCATAAAGAAACTGTGTGAGCCTTTTTTCTCATCTAAATCAAAATTATTTCAACCTGCCAGCAAACCAAAAAAAAAAAAGCAACTGTGGTATTTGTTCTCTTCCTACACTTAAATGCAGCAGGAACATATGAATTGCACAGAGAAACTCAGCAGTCTCACTAAGAATAAAATGAGTAGCTAACTTGCAAGAACGTTTGGGGACAAAATTCTCATTAAATATTAGAATAAGTTCTGGAAAATTGCTGAAATAGGAATGATTTCTGAAAGAAAGAGCAGCATATTTTAGCTGGCACTTTGGGAAGTAATTTTTACACCAAATCATACAAAATGTAAATTAAACTTTTTTACCTATTCTCCCAGTTGCTCAAACAAACGAGACAAGCAAATGGTTGCAACAGGAACAGATCACAGTACTTAACTTTTCACAGAAGTCTATACCTCAGTCAACACACAAGTTTTTAAAGGATGAAATAATTCTGTAATGGCTACTAAAACAAAATTTTTACCTATGGTAATTAAACTCAATCATAATATACCCAACTTAGTAAAATGTACACAACCATGGTATATTAGCATTTTTATTCAAGCCTAAACAAACTAAGGAAGTGAATAAAACATAATTTACCCTTTGAAACATTTTTTTCAAGAACACATGCAAGCTTACTGACAATTTAAATTATATTTATAGCAATAAAGGAAACTCTAGGTCAGTGCCATTTAGAAGTTTGTATTCTCTTTTGCTTACATRCACTTACATTAAGTTAAACACACAGAAAGCACTTGGCAATTTTCCCTTAATATTTTAATAAAAYGTTCTGTATGATATTCAGAACTGATAAGCACCAAATAACCACACATGGACACACACCACATGAACAAGTTATTTTGGTGTGAAAGTCAGACATACCTTTCCATCCTGAGTCAATTCTAACTGCGGAGTTTTGAGAGGGCTTTCATCTTCTTCTCTGCCACCTTCTTTTAACTTGGCCTGACCAGCAGCTTCAAGATCAATGATTTTATCTCCAGCAGCCTGCCCTCCCGCAGCAGAGAAGTCTCTTAGAAGACTTTGGTCTGAAATACCCATGGGAGCTATTAGAGAACAAAATATTTTGTTTCAYTTGGGTAAGCTGAAACATTTTGGTTTAAAATCTTCTTAAGAAAAGCATTTTATGATGGTATCAACAATGATCAAAACAGGCTAGTYACTGAGTGATACAGTATTTTTCAGATTCTTGGCTTTACAAAAGGTCTGTGGTTTTCACTGCACTGATTTGAACCGCAATGCACCCTTGTCATAACTTGAACTTATTATGAATGGAAAAAAAACCCTCACAGTATCAGACAAGTATTTATCAACTTCTTGATTAGTCATGGAAGATAAATTGAAGGTATTGTTCTTTCAGCTGTGCAAATCACCATTAAAAAAAAAAAGGGAAATATGAAAGTATTTTGTGGAAATTGATTATTTGAGAGGACTACTTTAATGCAATCRAGAAATAGCAATGCATATAATTGTCACAGTATTTTTCACTGGAACCTTAGCAAAGTTGCACAAACAGATCAGTRAAAATAAGAACCAAAGACAAGTAATGACAAAAAAACTTTAGCTGTTCAAAGTCAGCATAAAATTTTTTAACTAAATACTGAAGTACTGAATAAATATACTAAGATATCAATATACTGAACAAAATTATAGAAAACTGTACGAAACAACTGGTTCTGCCTTTTCTATTTAAAAATGCTCAGGCCAACCCAGATCCCAAAAGATGTCACTGACCAAACAATTTTATGAAAAGCCTATAATGTGTGCCTATCCCTTATAAAAAGTATGAGCAGTATACACAGATGCTACATACCCAATATAGAATTCTCCATATATTCATAGCAGTGCCATACCATTTAGGCAGTGCCTGAACTTACTGTTTAGGCCACCTAACATTGACAAGTATCTAAAGTGGCTTTAGAAACTGAAATTGATAAAATTGTCAAATGACCTTCAGGTCATCCGTAATGTTAACATTTCTAAATGTTAGTCAGATCAGAGTGACAACACAATGTAATCACAACACTGAAAAATACGTGAAATTTCATACCTCCATCAAGGCTTCTGGAAACACGTTTGCTGGAAGTGCGTTCGAARTACGGAGCTGGTCTGTCTATGAGGTTGCTGGCCTGTCGTGTCTGAGCCTGCGTACGGCCGCTGTAGCGGAACTTGGAACCCAAGGTCAGAAACTTCGTTTTTGGAGGCTGTTCTGGGGATACAAGTCTAAAAAATTAAATGTGAGGAATGTCAGTTTAAAAGGCTTTATTTGAAGCTCCTCRTTGTACTTCAGCTTCAGTTCAGAGTACATAATTTGTGCTCTCCAAGGAAGGATTTTACTGTAAGCTCTGCAAAGACTTAAAACAATGCATGTTATTTATTGTTTGCAGTTGGAGTTGAGGTGATGCTGATAACTATCACATTTTTCTACTCTACGACTAAGTATCTGGTACTCCTATCTTTTGGTTTTATCTTGGTTAAATTTTAWTTTTTTGTAGAAAGCTGAAGCCATTATAGGTCCATATAGAATACTTCTCAGATCTCTCCTTAGAATGTTACTTATAGTAAAAAGCATAAATTCCACTTCCACTTCCTTTCCTTCCACCTATATTCTGAGGTACCAATACTGTAGCTGCTGTTCCTCAAAATTAGGGAATGGTGTCTCAAAGCTGTATAGAAGCAAGTATCAGGTGAATGGAGATGGCTAGAGAGTTGTTAACCAAGAGCAACAAGTTTAACAGTCTACATTCAGACTCTAGTTTTCTTACAATGTTATTTATAAGTTTATGTAGGTTGATGGTCGCTAGATATAAGGAGTAGTAGGAAGAGGCTTATTGTGAAAAGTGTGAAAAAGAGAGTCAGTTACATGTACTGGCAATGCTGGGTATGTATGTTTGTACCATAAGTGTTGGAGTTATTGTCAGAAAGTCCAGGTACCAATGTGGCAGAATTTGCTGTGAGGGGTTCCGTTTTCTTCACAGAAAGAGCGGCTGGGCATTGGAATGGGCTGCCCAGGCAGATGGAGTCACTGTCCCTAGAGGTATTTTAAAAAAACATTATACAGAAAGAGAGTAGGCCATGATGGGTGAGACTGTATTTGCAGCATTAATTTTCAGATGAGGGCTGGGGTCAGTTCATCATATACATCAGACACATCGATGTCTCTGACACTCCCTTCCTCTTAAGAGGCAGGAATCCTTACACCCTTCCTCCAGCAAAAGGGAGGAGGGAGGGAAGGGAGTCAGTCCTCCATGAAATTCCCAATGTGAGTCCTTCACAAACAACTCCAGCGTAAGTCCCTTCCACAGGGTGCAGCTCTTCAGGAACAGGGTGCTTCAGCAGGGGTGCCCCACAGGGTAAAAAGTRCTGCCAGTAAACCTTCTTCAGTGTCACAGCCTCCTTCAGGAATGTCCCTGCTCCAGCATGGGGTCCTCCAGGGGCTGCAGGTGGATCTCTGCTCCCCCATGGACCTCCCGTGCTGCAGGGGCACATCAGCCTCACCATGGTCTGTACCAGGGGCTGCCCTGGCACCTGGAGCACTTCCCCTTCCTTCATTGTCCTGGGTGTCAGCAGCATCATTTCTCTCACATTCTCACTCCTTTCCCGGACTGCCACTGCTGTAGCACAGTAATTATCTCCTCTTCTTAAATACATCATCCCAGAGGTGCTACCACTGTCGCTGCTGGGCTCAGCCTTGACCAACAGTGGGACCATTTTGGATCCATCTGGCACTGGCCCCATCAGACACAAGGGAGGCTTCTGGCATTTCTTAGAGACACCACSACCCCTGTAGCCTCCCTACTACCAAAACCTTGCATGCAAACACAATGCAGGCTAGGTAGAGGACTACCATTTACCTAAGAGGRGATGTTTATGGCTTGATCATGACACTAGGCAGAGGGATCCAATCCCCCATGCCTAAGATGCAAATGCMTGCACCTGAATTTTAATCTGTTCCAACATTCATAAAGAAAACAATTCAAGACAGACTAATACACCCTTCTGCACTAAGGCCACTTATGTAATAAAATTGCAAGTATCTGGAGCTTCGCTTTCCTTGCTTCTATGAAACAGTCTTTCTCCCCATTATTTCCAAGAGAGAGTGCATTATGTACTAAGAGGAAGAAGGCTAAAAGGGTTTTTCCAAGGTTGCTTCTGTTTTTGATTTTCCAGTCTTGGCAAGGCCACAGCATTAACTGCCATTTTTATCTTCCACCCTGCTGAGATAAACTTCTAATCTTTTAATGTGGAAAAAACAAGAGAACTAATTACTTCCTGATTAAGGGCATTTGAATGGATTTTGGCATTACAGGCTTAATTATACAGAATAACTGAAAACTATGCTTTTACCACTTTAAGACATTCTGGGGAGATGCTGAAGCAATCATAAAAATATCAAAACTCATAAAGTGGAAATATAAGCAGGTTTCTGCAGTCAGTGGTTAAGATCCAGAGTTGCCAACTAAGCTTACCTCAAAATTTTAATGTAGATATATAGTCTGACTTATTTTTAAAGTAGATTGCTGCTCTTTGAAAATGGTACTGGAATCCGTTAAGTTTGAGCTGATAACAAGTGAACAGAATGCCCTTTGGTTGYCATTTTCAATACAGTTCATTACAATTTTTATAAATAACTTCATATACTGGCTAAATTTCCTATACATGATAATGCATCTTTATGTGATTATTTGAGACAAACTGAAACATTACATAAGACAACACAAGGAATCTCACCATGTTATATAGGGCATGCTAAGAGATTTGGAAGCTAAAAATACACATCTGAACTGTATACAATTTACTGCGGCATCGTACACAAGCTTTACACATGCTCTGAATGAGCTTCAGTCTCTTGGACTGTAGCAATTGCTTTCTGCTTTTTATCTTTGAAGGAAAATAGAGCTGGCTTTATTTTGCTGTTTTTAAATCAGGATGAGAGTTTCTGAGGATTTTGTCCGATGACATCAGTGGAGTGTATGGATTTAGAGAATGGTTCAAGTATGTGTTACATAATTCTTGTTATATTGTCATTCCTGGTTAGGAAAAGCCACTTCTGATTGGAATAAAATCCAATTATTTTTGTTATGTCAGAATTTCTGTCGTAAGATTATCTCATACCTATTAGTGCTCCTGAAAGCTTTCAGACTTGCAAATGGTAGTTTTCAGTTCAGGATTTTTGACTTCCATAGCATTTGTTTTCTCCTTATTCAAGTCTATTTTATTACTATAAAACTAGGAAATACAGCTTACCAACAAAGCAAATCACTGCATGAATTATTTGAGGAATATTAATAAATTTATCATTGGGACCGAACTGCACACTATTTGCGGTAATAGACACCATCACCAAAGCAGACTTCAAATTTTCAAGAATGGAATGCTGGACTGTGYTAAATAAATTCTATCAACATGAATTTTTTTTTTTCAGAATTTAAAAAGAAATGTTTCTAAATTAAGCATTTGGAGATTGGCAAATCTCAGCATAAAACAATCTCAGCATAAATTCTACCCTTGCATTCAAGAACATGCTACATTTAATGAAAATCTGAAAACTGAAAACCATTCAGTGAGACAGTTTCAGTAATCATGTGCTTAGACTCCTGGTCCCCAAGTTCTCTGAAGTTCTCTGTCTAGCAAGTRTATTCAGTGGGTCATCTGGTCCACCCTCCCTGCTAGAGCACATGGCACAGGACTGAGACCAGACAGTTCCTGCATACCTCCAGTGCYGCATGACCACTTGTTTAGTTCCATCCTCAGCATTCTGAAAGTTTTGATAAAGCAGTTAATTGTACTTGAGACTTTAAGAATTGGTAATTTGGGGTCAATGATTGTCAGAATATCTTCTGTCTAAGAGGTTTAACTGCACAGAGCAAAGAAGAGGCATATCATCTTTACTTCCCTCCTATCCTTTAAAAGAAAGATATGAGCATACCCTGCAAAAGTGGGGGAAGGAGAGAATTCTCTCTTACCTGAAGAAAGTATGGTGCTCCACACAAACCTTCCATAACCTTTTAGCAGCCCGATGGTTTGGCAGTTTGAACCCAATAGTGCTCTCAAACTGYTCCAGCTGGAAAGAACCCACAAATAAATTAACCCATTTCTTTAAGCTGGCTGTTAATTAACAGGCAGAGTTAAGATAGTTCATCACTGTATCAAGCTGTAATACTCCTGCCATAAGACTTCATAAGAGTCTTTTTAAAATGTTTTTCAAAGATCAGAATTTTCAGCCTTTTAAAAGAATGATGTGGGCTATGACATGATGGATAAAYTGCATGAAGCAATTGTACTGCAGGTTGTGCTTCACACTTCTCTTGTATTTAATAAAAGTCTGAAATCCATACTGCAGTGTTAAGCTTATATGATCTGTTTCACTATRTAAGAGTTTCTTAGCAAGAATGTTTCATCTATGCACAGCATCAGTGAATGCAAAAGCAATACATCTGCATTCAAAAATTTACATAACTACAATGTTAGTGTTCCTAAAATTGGTGTTTAGATGTCTCATTTCATCTATTACACAGTAAAAGCCACCTTAAACGTTTTATAGTATAATCTAAAAAAGCATTACACTATTTGACATTTTGGGGTTTTCGTTAAATTTCCAGTTACAAAGTGCTCAAAATGTAAACACACACACACACACATGCACAGGCGCCCTTTGGCAACACTCAAACTTTTAGCAGTTACTGAAAGTTGAATCCACTACTTCCACAGCAGCTAACAGAGTTATAACATCCTACAGGACAACTCAAATCTTTGGTTACAGCCACAAACTTGATGTGATGGCATTTAGTGAACAATTACATTTAAAAAGAAAGGTGGCTCTCTCCCAGAACTGCAAGTTTGCACAGTCAGAATGTAACCAATGTAACTAGCTTTTTGTGTAAAAAATCCCATAAAATAATAAGTCAGCTTCTATTAAAGAAAGAAAATAGATTTTCTTCTTGGTTTGCCTTTACTAATCAAGACAAATGTTTAATACAATCATTAGAATCTGAAGAGGAAAAAGCACTCATAAGTTCTGCTTGAATCCATCATAAGCTTATGAGGACAACTATGGAAAAAATGAGGATGTTTTCTTACAGCTGGACAGAAATGGTTCTACTTACTTCTGCTGGCCTGACTTTGATGTAGAAATTACTTCTCTTGTAGGAAATCTTCAGAATTTTTGGCCAAGCGAAGCGGTTGATCCGGAGTCTGTCTTTGTAGATCAGCAGACCATTAGCACATACACCCAGCATGATATCCACACCTTCAGAATCCTACCAGGTATGAGACAATTTCATAAAAATCACTTTAATAACATTCCAAACAAGTAATTATTGCTGACATACCTTGAGGGAATAATATAACTGGGACATGTTTCATATTCAAATCTGACTCTGACAATGACATATTTAAACCAGAAATAGCCAMGTATATTCATTTTATAGGAAAGGCTCTGGAGTCTAAGTAATGGTTTTGGCATTCATATGCCACAGTTCTGGGAAATTCTTTAATATTCTGGTAATAGGGACTCAGTTAACATCTTAAAAGAAGGAAAGGTATGGCCAGTGTGTGCACTACCAATAATTTCAACAAATATTAAAAGAAGAAAAATGAAAACCAGGCCTTTCCAACTTAAACCATTCAGTGAAAGTCTGAATAAGCTGGTGATCAAGGTGAYCTTTTAGAGAAACATACTATTCCAGCAACGATAGAGGAAGTAATGGWTAGGTTTCTGAGCATTCTATTTCACCAACAGCATTTGATGCAAATTTTACAGGCTAMAAAACTAATCACTTACTGACACACTACCCCATACAGCAGAATCTCATGTCCTCCCAACAACAGATCAGCTACATCAAATGCCAACCCTGTCACTAAGGAGTTGTTTCACTGGCGTAAATAACAAAACAAAATTAAACAGTGTTTCTCCATTACTTAAAAGTCTTGGTTTTCTTTCTTAAATGGAAGATTAATACACTTGCAATACYTTACATTTCATAATTATTTGAGAGTCTGGATTTATGTGAGGGAGTGAGAGGAGGTTACTAGTTTGTCACTTGGGGTTTTAACAAAAAAAAAATCCTTCTTGAAATGAAAATTTGATTTGACCTACCCTGGGAAGTGGAAAAGGTACCAAAACCCTCCCCAGGACTTCCGCCCATATTTTTTTAACTCTTACGATATCACAAAACAACTACATGTTCTTTTCATCTTTACTTTTTTGGCCCCACATTTTCTGGACATAAAAAATAGAACATTTAAAATTGATTTATTTCCTCTTATGAGTGCAATATTATTTCCAAGCTGCACATGTCTATGTAATAAATAAACTTATGTATAAAATAAATTCTAAGGAGTTGTAAATTGAGTAATTATTGTAACCGAGAGATAAAGACTTATAGCCAATTTTTTTTCTAAATAATTTCTATATCCTGTTTTCTTTAATACTTAGYATGTCTATCTTAAAACAAAACCAAACAAACCCAATCCCCAATACCTTGGCATGATGTAAATCCACTCCRTACATGGAGAGTCTCTTAGCATTTTCTAGGAACTGGGAATCCGCCTGTGCTGGAGTCAAGCCCCTAAAACCATTGAATAAGCCTTGAGTTTATTGGCAAAAAAAACAAGAGTCAAAACTGAGTGGAATCCTGGAATTCAGACTAATACAAAAATCTCAGTTTATAAGGTATCAATAGCATTTTGGCCCACAGGAAAACTGTTCTTTCAGAGGATATTATTTTACTTGAGTACAGATTTCCACCTTTACTCTTTCAAAATATTCTATCTGTATGTTGTTTAAACTAATTCATATGCTCATGTAAAAATACTTTTCTAAAAGTTCTCTACCAAGACCTTAGTGAAACTACTATTTTCAAATTCAACTTTTAAACACACCAAAGTAAGAGCTTTTAGATAAATAACAAACCATTTCCAACGTAATAAGTTTACCTCAGCAGTTTTACACAGACTCTTAAGAGAACTGATATAAATTTGATAAAGCATGATGACTTTATTTAATCCCACTGTATCAGACTTACCTGTGTGTTTTGTGTAGCTCAGCCACTTTCTCCTCCATTTCTTGAGTCTGATTGGGTGCAAATTGGAATTCACTGATATAATCACTGCGATGCTCCTCTGGGTCATGATCACCCAGCTCAGCCTGCAGGGTATATGAACCAAGGAGGGCGTGAGTCACAAAAGAACACGGCAGTCGGCCAGATGCAATATCCTGACGAAGCTGCAGGCACAAGAAATACCTGCAAGACAAAGGAAAGGGGGGAAAAAAACAACCGAAGAGAAAGAACAGAGAAAGTGTTACCAATGGCAGGACTGAAAATATGACAGAATTCATCAAGATGCATTTAAGCATGTGTTTTCAAAGTGAACGCATTAATAATGTTACACTTCACATTATTTCAATATTATTACCACACTGTAAATTTCACTTGAGTTTTAAGAGTTGATATTACTTTCATAAAAAATGTGGAAAGTAGGCACAATTCTGATTTCCAATATAAATGAACAAAAAGCTATCTAGTTTTAAAACTGGCTGACTTAGGAACTCCTTCAGTTCACATTGTAGCCTGTAGGTTTAAAAACACAAGCTATGCATTTCTTTGACATTTGCCTTTGGCTTTAAAACTCTAACTTGTATATTCCTTGCAGTTCACAASCTAATCAAGTCATCTAATACATAAAAGAAATCCAGTATAGTACTGAAACTGTAATTACMTTTTTTAAACCATGTATGTATTAGAATTTTATATTTCAGGTACTGTATACAGTCTTCTACCAAATTTAACAAGTTAACAATCAGCAGACATCCTATCTTAGCAGAGATTTTTTAAATGTAAATGAAAAGAAATGCTTACTAGTGAACCTTTAAGGATTTAGATTTAAGATATAACCAGAAAATGCTTTTATGAGTTGAACATGCAATTGAAAAATCAACCAACTCGCTGAAAATTTTCAAAGAAACACACAGCTTCTTGTAAATATACTCTGTACTAAATGTCTTTCATGATGGTACAAATGACTATTTGTAGCAATATATTGACTGCACATTTGCATAGCTATCTTATTTTGT